AGTAGGGTCTACAGAGCAAGTTCCAGAACTGCCAGGGCTACACAGAGAATTGCTGTTTCAAAAAAAAAAAAATCCGTTAAACAAAGAGACAGGCTCTTTCAGCTAGGTTGGTTGGCTAGAGACTGGGTTACTCTTTCCTATCCCTCAGCCATGGGGTAACAGCTATACACTGCCATGCCTGGCTTTTATGCAGGCATCAGGGACTGAACTTGGGTCCTTGTGCTTGGGCAGTAGGTGCTTTTCCAACAGTGAGCTCTTTTGCCTTCAACAACCCTTTTCATATTGATTTCCAAAGCAACTCTGAAAGGTTAGCTCATGTACATTAGTACAACAACCAAATTCACCTCTAATTAGATATCAGGACTTCCTGAACTATACAAATTTTAAGATGACAAAAATCCAAAAATTTAATAAATTTAATACTGCCCTGACAATTTAAAGGCAAGAGAATTTAAGACAGAAAAATTTTTTTCTTAATGCCCAATAACATTTATTCATGCATAAAACTGATCTTCAAAATTCCTAAACGCTTAGCAGCATAACTTTTCAAAAGATTGCTCCTTTCTTTTAGCTTTCACTCAGTTGGTAGTAATTACAAGTCTCAAGAGTTAGGGCTGAGGATGTGGCGCAGTGGGAGTGCTCACTTAGGATGCAAAGGCAGGGATCAACCCCCAGGGCAGCACTAAAGAAAAAACTGAATCCGAAGAATTGTAATATCAGTGTTTCTAAGTGTTGAAAGTTATTTTTGTAGGTAATAAGATTTTGAGCTAATTTCAGGGGATATTCTTTTAGAGCTGTATGAATTTTTTTTTTAGGCTATTGGTTCCCTTAGCCTTTTTGTTGCTGTTTAAATTTTTTACTCGGCTCTAAGAAGTAAAGTACATTAAGCTCCCTTTCTCCCCCAGATCAGTTTGATTGATTTGGGAATACTTTGGCTATCCAAAATAATCTGGAAAATTAATAAAGACCAGAGAATTAGACAGCATACCTCAGTTCTTTTAAGAAAGATTATCTCTAAGTTAGACATTAATATAATAACATTGACAGAAAAAGTTTTAAGCACTTGATTCTGAAAACCTGGCCAGAAAAAGATGTAGGGGAAAACCTAAAGTGTTACTATTTTCAACCTTCAGATTAAACAGCAACAGAATATTTCAGACTCAGATGATGAATACAGGTTGGAGACAAAGCTGTTGTCCTAACAACTGGAGGGGTATTAAATGTTGCTTTGGCCTCACTTCAAAACACGAAGCTAAAAAGAGGACAAAAGCAAAATGGGGCAGTAATGTTATTTATGCTCTCTTTCGTTCATGTGCTGGAAGCAATTCTAGTTTTAAACTATATGTACTATAGGTCAAGCTAATCTAAGTCTCTCCAGTCAATTTTTCCTCCTATAATTTCAGACTTTTTAAAAACACTGACCTTTAAAAGCAGCTTTTAAGATGGACTGTCAAGAGATTTCTGGATTGTGATCCCATATTTGGTATGCGTAAGGCTCTTGTTTTATTCTTACCATTGTAAACAAACCAATAGCAAAGCTGCTGACAAGTAGGTAGTAAACAATAGCAAACAAGCACTTTGGGAGAGATGACTGAGAGTCAGCTACCATGCTCGGAACAGCTCACCTTTGTATTTTTGAACTGGAAATCTTTAAATTCCTGAACAACCACAAACAAGTTATCAACGGATCTCAGACAATGAACCTAGGGAGAAAAACCAACGTTAGAAACAAACTTCTGTAAATATTTTTGAATCACACAGCTATCTACAGATAAATATTAAAAAGGGGAAAAACAAAGAGGAAAAGGTACAAAAATGTCACATTTTTGAGATAGGGTCTTGCTACACTGTTCTGGGTTGCCTCAAGCTCACAATTCCCCTGACTCAGTCTTCCAGTACTGGGATTGCCTCCGTAGTTTTAAAGCACCTCTCATCTGTATTTTTGTTGTTTTGAGATAGGATTTCTCTACGTGGGCCTGGACGGCCTAGAACTTGCTGTGTAGACCAGGCTGGCCTTGAACTCAGAGATCTGCCTCCCTGTGCCTCTGGAATGCTGGGATTAAAGGTGTGCACCACCATCACCACCACCACCCAGTTCATAACTGTATTTTATATTTAAGAATTTTCCCATCCATTTCTTTGGTTACCCATCAGTTTCTGCTTTTCTCCAGAGACAGGGCTGGTGAGATAAAGTACGACAGTTTGAAATGTTATGCAGGCAACAACACTGGTTTGGAGAAGGGAAAAATATAACAAGTGGGCTTTATCAATCAGACTTGTCATGACTTGCAGTGGTATGTTGTGTACTGCAGTGGCAAAGAGTGTGGGATTTGAAAGCTGGATGTACAAGTGCAAGCCTGTAGTCCCAGCATTCTAGAGGCAGAGCATGGGGGAACAGGAGTTCAAAGTCACCTTCAACTGTGTAGCGAAATTTAGGCTAACTTTGGCTACCTGAGACTCTGTTTCAACCTTCTACCTCCCCAAAAGACCACATGGGATTTAAGCTCTTGTTTTGTGATGACTGAGTTACTGAAGACAAGTTACTTTTCTTCTTAAACCTAATGATTAATGACAACAGTAACAGTGCCCAATCTTCACAAAACTGCTGAGGGCATCAACCAAATACCTATGTACCAACAAATACTACAAATATTTGTGGGTGCCTATTACAAGTTTGGGATACACTGGCAAGCTAAAAAACAAAACAAAACAAAACAAAAGAACAAACAAAAACTCCCGACAATAATATATGCCTATGTCTCTTATGAGATACTGAGAAATCTTGTAGCTTTTGTTACACTGGATGTCGGTTCTTGCCTCTACTTCTCACCTGCAGTAATGCATAATTACTTTTGATCAAGAATGTCTCTGACACAGATGAAATGGAAAGCCTCTGCTTTCGTACTTACCCAACTTCTGCTAAAGTAAATGTGTCATAGGCAGTCATGTATATTTCATTTCAGTGATCAATCATCAGGAAATGCTATGATCACTTCTACACCAGAATAAAACTCACACTAAAATGTACTAAACTGGATATACATTATAAAGACATTATAAACATTAACACTGTACACTAAAACATACAGTCAATTTCACAAATCAGTATACAAGCAGAAAATTCAGTGATACGTTGAGCAGACCAAAGCAAAGGACTCCCAAGGGAGTCTACAAACTAGAAAAGTAACCAAAAAATAATCAAATGTAGCTAGGTGTTGGTGGTGCACGCCTTTAATCCCAGCACTCAGGAGGCAGAGGCAGGCAGATCTCTGTGAGTTCAAGACCTGCCTGGTCTACAGAACAAGTTCCAGGACTGGCTCCAAAGCTACAGAGAAATCCTGTCTTGAAAAAAACAAAAAACAAAACAAAACATCAAGTTAGCCAGGCAGTAGTATCACGTGCCTTTTAATCCCAGCAATTGGGAGGCTGAGACAGGCAGTTCTCTTTGAGTTTTAGCCAGCCTGGTCTACAAGAGCTAGTTCCAGGACAGGTTCCAAAGCTACAGAGAAACCCTGTCTCCAAAAAACAAAAAGCAAACAAACAAACAAACAAAGAAAAAACAAAAAGCAAAACAAAACAAAAAAACCCAACAAGTTAAAAGACCAATTTAAACACCGTTTTGTTCAAACCTGAGCCAGACTTTCCACTGCAATGTCAAAATATATCTTGCCCCGGTCTTTGCTGATTCTGCATGGTGACTTCAGCTTCTCTCTCACTTCATCTGCAGCTGTTGGCTCAAAGCCAGTGGGTACAGTGGCTCCAATAGTGACCTGGAGATGCTCAGACTCACTTCTGATGCCACCTTCCACTGTGGGCACAGGCTTCTCGCTCTCATGAAGGTTCATATCCAGGAGTTGGTTGGTAGCTTCTTGAGTGTCAGACATGGCGGAAATGTTTCTAAAAGGCCTAATGCCACTTTACAGGCAATACAGAAAAGGGGGGGGGGAATAAAACAAAAATAAATCCCAGTCTCTTTTCATATTTCAAAAGTATGTACCAGTTAAAACTGCCATATAAAAAAGGGCATGGATTGCAGGCAGTGAGGCAATATATGGGCACATAAGAGGAAAGAACACAAAGTGTTTCCACAGTGTGCAGTGTTTGGTTTGGGGGTCATCTGTGTTGGCAAGCACCATCTTACAACTAACTATACTGGTTAACATTAAAACAGAAATCATCCCATCTTGTCCTTCCAGCTGCCAGTTCAGAATGTCAGGCTTTGGTGAGTCTGAGAGTTTGAATTCTTGCCTCCCACATTCTCAGGTTCAAATGACCCTAAAGTTAATCCTGCATAGCCTCAAACTGGAAACGAAATAATCTTTCTTAAAGTTGGAAGATTTTAATGAGAATAATACAGTTCTGGACTAATGATCAAACATTTTAATGTGTGGGTTATCTATTTTCCTCCCTCTAGTCCAGCGAGCGGTGAATTTAACAAAGATTAACTCAACTTTTCCTATCTAAAATACAAAGATCTGAAAGCTCGCTACACGATGACGCTGAGATTCAATGATATGCATCCAGTCTTGGAAATATCTGAAGTTAATAAAACAAACTTCCGGTATTTTTGTGTCGATTGAAGGGGCTGAAGAAAGGTTACCGTGATGGAAGTCCCACACCTTCCAATAGATTTACAAAGAAGTTGTAACTTAGGTAACACCTTTGCCGTCCCTATGCTGTACCAAGGACAGGCCACAGAGATAACCACCGTGTCACGGTTGGCCGTTGTGAAAAGACCTCCACCTTGGAGAGTTTGATAGGTGGCTCAGACTGGAAGGGAAGTTGGTCTCCCACTCCCACCCTCGATGAGCCCAGCCAGAGGCCAGAGGCGCCGTCCGGTCCCGACTGACATAAAGTCACCGCCGCCTCCCTCCATCCCGCCTACCCGGCCACTCCCACCCAGGCCAGTTACCGGCTGTAAGCACAGACCCGGCAGCCGCACTTGCGAGCACGCTCGGGGCACGCCGCCGGAAGCCGCGTTGCCACCCCGGAAACGGAAGTCAGACCTTGGGGGGTCACGGGTCTCCCGCGCTCGGGGTGGGCTCGTGGTGAGATGAGTGTGCGCATAAAGCTGTGCGCGGTTGGCTGCGTTCTGAACCGGAACAGGAAAGACTGCCGGCGGGTCACCTGCCCTGAGGTAACCTCTGTGGAGGGCGGAGCCGTAGCTGGCGGTGCGTTAGCTGCTCGGTCTTTACATGGCCTTTGCGTCAAGCATGGGACTATGACTTGATTACCGTTTTAAAGTGTAGAAACTAGAACTAAAGAGATTATCTGTCCCATTCCCTTCTTGCATAGAATTTTTTTGCTTGGAATTTATTTCATTTTGTTTTTTTAGATTTTTCGAGACAGGGTTTCTCAAACTTTGGAGCCTGCCCTGGAACGCGCTCTGTAGACCAGGCTGGCCTCGAACTCACAGAGATCCGCCTGTCTCTGCCTCCCGGGTGCTGAGAATAAGGATCTGCGCCACCACTGCCGGGTGGAATTTATTTTTGAGATGGGAATCACTCTACATAGCCCTGACTGGCCTGGAACTCACAGAAATCCACTGTCTCTGCCTATGCCTTCGGAGTGCTGGGATTAAAGATGAGTATAATATGTTGCTAGGTTTCTGCAAAGGGCAATCAAGCTGGGCTGTAATTAGAATATAGCCCACAGCCTTGTCTGTAGTTTTTATATTGCATTTTTTATGTTGGCTGTTACTACACTATTGCGTATTTCATGTTTTTTCTTTATATTTCAAAGGTTACGTTTTATAATTTAGTTTATTTCGTGTGTATGGGGCGGGAGCATATGTGCCACACCTGAGATCAGAGGACAGCTTGCAGGAACTGGTTCTTCCACCACGTGGCTTCTAGTGAGCCAACTCAGGTCACCAGGATTGGCAACAAGTATCTGCCCTCTAAAATGTCTCAGTAGCCCCAAATGAAATATTTTTGTTTGTTTTTAGGAGACGGGGTTTCTCTGTGTAGCTTTGGAGCCTCTCCTGGAACTTGCTCTGTAGACCAGGCTGACCTCGAACTCACAGTAAAGGTGTGTACCACCACCACCCGGCTCAAATACAGCATTTTAAAACGGAAACTCAACAAAAGGAGACAACTGATTTGTTTCGTTTTTATTTTTAAAGTAAGATGCTGGAGAGAGGACTCAGTGATTAAAGCTTGCTTTTCCAGAGGGTTCAAGTTTTGTTCCCGGCACCCACCCATATAAGGCCACTCACAAACGCCTGCCTGCCTGTAACTTCAGTTCCAGGGAATCTCACACTCCAGTCTAGCCTCCAAGGATACTGTGACACCACGTGAATGATATGTACATACATTCTCCCTGTGCCCCCTGCCTCCAACTAATTGTTTTGTTTTGTTTTGTTTTTGTTAAGGTTTTAGTGACTGCACCAACAACAAAGACATGGTGCCACACTGTCCCTATCAGCAGGAACAATGAATAAGGTAAAACCAGATCCTAGGCTTAGATGCAGGAAAAAGTTTGGGACCGGCCAGTATAAAACATGTTATAGTTTTTTGTTTTTGTTTTGTTTTTTTTAAAAAAAAAGAGGTCTGTCAGATGGCTTAGTAGGTAAAATGTGTCTGCCACCAAGCCTGACCATCTGAATTCCATCCCCAGAACCCACATGGTGGAAGAACAGACTCCCACAGGTTGCCCCTGACTTCCACATATGTGCCATGAGGGCCCCACCCTGATAAATACATGTTTAAGGAGAGAGAGAGAAAAAAGCCAGGAGGTGATGGTGCACACCCTAATCTCAGCACTTGGGAGGCAGAGGCAGGTGGATTTTTGTGAATTTGAGGCCATCTTGGTCTACAGAGTGAGTTCCAGGACAGCCAGCTTTGGGCAGGTAGGATAAAGACACTCAAGGGAAAAGTAAAGCTCACCCAAGAGCATGGGTGTGGGCTTCTCAAAAAGGAACACACATTATTAAATACAGTTTTAGCATAGATTTTAGGCCTAGGAGTTAAGAGTAATTTAACTCTTCGTGGCTCTGAAGTTACAAATCAAAAGAAAAAGAAAACGTATTCCTTTTTTTTTCACAAATGAGATTATAGGATGTTTCAGAAGTGCCTTGGATGGGATTACAATCTGATAAAACCAGGAGCCACTAGTATTGTACAGGGAGTTAGGACATGCTCTTTACTATAATTGGAGTTTCTGATGAGAATCCTAGAAAATTATAGGTTTATAGGTGGGAAAGGAGAAAGGCCTCAAGCAGTTACTAATTGTTTTTGAGTTTGTGATTCTCAGCTGTTGAGAAAGAGGCTCCTTTTGCTTCTTGGGTCTTTGTAACTTCTCCTTTGCTACTTTACAAAGGACTTGCATCAGGGCTTTCCAAAAAGAAATGATGGTCAATACACTGATCATTAGGGAACTGTAAATTAACACTAACTTATATACCTTTTGAAATGGCAAATTTGTAAAGCAAGAATCACATCTCATGTTCTAGAGAAGATACGGAACAATGAAATGTTGCTGCTGTCAACGCAAATGTTATAGCAACGATAGAATTCAGTTTAACTTTGCTGAAAAAGGTGTAACATATACCAACACATTACCCATTCTACCAGTGGAAAATGTTCAAACAAGAAATTGTTCACAAATACACATTGCAAATAGCCCCAAAGTAGAAACAACCTGAATACTCATGAGATGATGGACAAACAGATGTGATATGTATGCACAATAGGCTAGTATTTAGTCATAAAAAGTACTGTTCAATCCCCAGTAGCATACACACACACACACACAGAGGATAGAGAGAGATCACTTAAAACCACAGTGCAATTCTGTTTATTTCCAGTGTCTAGAGAAGGTGACTATATAGAGTCCGAAAGCAGATTAGTATTGCTTATGGTTATGAGGGGAATTGGAGGTGATAAGCAAAGGTCATTGGCTTTTCTGGGGATGAGCATGTTCTCATGAGCAATTACATAGTAAAGATAAGTTACACACCATCATAAATATACTAAGACACTGAACTACACATTTTAATAAAATAACAAGTTTATCTGGGTGGAGGAAGCTTTGGATCTTACAGGAGATTCACCTACAGTTTCTTCGTCTGCAAACTTATACTTTCCTCCTAGAATTACTGGGAGACTTAAATCAGATTAACATATTGCCAGCCACATGATAAAATGGTGTTCTTAATAACTGGATCAGAGAAGCTGGTGAGATGGCTCAGAAGGCGGGGGTTCAGTCACCAAGCCTGATAAACTGAGTTCAGTCTTCTGGACATGCGTGGTGTGGGGAGAGAACCAGCTGCCGCAGGTATCCTCTGACCTTCAGCCTTCAGTATTGGTCGAACTATGGCTTGCGTACACACACACAAATAGTAATGAAAAATCAGAATGAAAATAAGACACGATTACTAAATTCTAATCAGATAATGTTCTGTGTAAAAGGCTTTTATGTTATTTGTTTCTTCTAAAAATATGTTCATTTGATTATTATTATTTTTTCGAGGCAAAGTTTCTCTGTGTAGCTTTGGTGCCTGTCCTGGAACTAGCTCTTTTAGACCAAGCAGGCTGGCTTCACAGAGATCCACCTGCCTCTGCCTCTCGAGTGCAGGAATAAAGGCGTGTGCCACCACCACCCAACTTCATTTGCTTATTTATTTTACTTTAGGATTGTAAAAGGCTTTTAATAGGTTGTGAATCTACAGCCCACCTTCCAGTTAGGAAAGATGAGGAGGTAGTAGAGACAACCCAGCACTAACAGAGACCTTGACATAATGAAGGATTAAAATACTGAAGAGATAGTGTCTGGGTCTATTAGTGTCATCTCATGTGTATCTTGTGTTTGTCTTTATACTGTCTAATTAGGTTCCACCAGTCATATGCTGGACCTGTTAATTTAGGCAACAGATTATATTGAGCATGCATTGTATGTCAGACATTCTTTTAGGCTCTGGGTATGCAGCAGTGGAGGCAAGGGAGAGATCCTTAGGTGTCTGCATTTATATTCTAATGAAAAAGACAGCATGGTAAACAATATACAATAACATTCTCTGAGGATCAGTAATATGCTGAAGAAATAAGGAAAGTTAGGGTTGGGCAGGTAGAGTGCTGGAGAGATAGGGAGGAATTCAGCAGGACAGGAAAGGCCTCTTTGTAAGGTCACAGAGCAGAGCCTGAAGGAAGAAAATAGCATGTTTAACAATCTGGAAGAAGAGTATGCTAAAGCAGGTTCAAGATGTTCAAAAGGCCTAAAATTAGCCAGGAGGCCTATTAGGCAGAAAATGAAGGAGTCAAGTGTAAGATGAAATGACCAATGTTTTACAAATTCTCATCATGTCTTACAGTTAAGAACACCACTCTGGGGCTAGAAAGATGACTCGGTGGTAAGGAACACTTGCTGCTTTTATGAAGCCAGAGATCAGTTTCCAGCACCAACATTGGATGACTTACAGTCACCACAGTCTAGCTCCAAGGACCTGATGCATGCAATCTCCTGGTTTCCACAGATAGTGACATAAACTTACACACACACACACAAAATTTTTAAAAAGTTCACCAGTCTGGCATTAGGAGTGTTATCTTGGTTGGCAGAGTGCTTTGCATGCAGAATCCCTGAATTCATCTCCAGTTGTGGTGATGGTGCATGTTTGTAATTCTAGCACCTAAGAGATAGAAGTTCAAGGGCTAAAGAGATGGCTCGGTGGTTAAGAATGCTGGCTGCTCTTCCAGAGGTCCTGAGTTCAGTTCCCAGCAATCACATGGTGGCTCACAAACCATCTGTAATGAGATCTGGTGCTCTCTTCAAGGTCATCCCCAGCTATGTGGCAAGTTTGAGGCCAGTCTGAATGACCTGATAGCTTGTTTCAAAGCCAAAAGTCAAACAACACAAACAATACCACTCTGGAGGCTGGATGAAAGGAGTAACTAGACATTTCAGTGGTCCAAACAAGAGGTAATAAAACTAGAGTGTCGTGGTTGGATATGGTAAGGGTTGTCAACTTCTGGCATATTCTGAAGGAATAGCAGTCATTGCTGATAGACTGGATGTGGTTTTCTAAAGAAGATAAAAAAGGAAGTGTGTGACCCAGGGCCTACCAAATTTGCTGCTTTAGGGCAACCACATTCTGCTGATAAGTCCATGCTAAGGAACTCGTGCCGAGATGCCACCAGT